GAAATGACGTCTCGTTACGTAGCCGATTTTGTCCGTTTGTCGTCAAAGGGATGGTGAAGATGGAGAGCCCTTGCTATGTTGCTGGGTTCGGGTCAAAAGCATTCGAGGGTGCGTGGAAGAAGAAAAGAACTGGAGAGGGTCATGGTGTGAGTGTTGTGATGGGCTGGTGATGTTCTGGGAGGCCGGAAGTTGGTACGATTCTGGAAATAACGAGTGGGTCCGGACGCGGTTTCGGACACTTTACTCCTCGGTTGGACGATCCTTAGCGCCGACGTCGCCCCTCTCCTCCCCGGTCGAGGAACCTGGAATCATCAAGCAAGCAAAGCAAAGCAGCACTGGGCAGGCAGCTGCCAGCACCCATTGTTTCCCAGCAATGTAACTCTGTGAGTGATCATAGCAAAGTGGGGATGAGTAGGGCGTGGGGTGGAGTACAACCTGGTGACATATCCGTATGTTGTCGGCGAATACCAATGGGAAGGTAAGGTACGCTGTACACTGCAGAGTACGTGTATGCGTAGCGAATACGGAGTAGGTAGATACAAAATTCCCTTAGTATCATGACTACATAGGTAGTAGAGTACGGGTAGATTGTACGGATACGGGATACTCCGCGCGGGTGTCTCCCCTTGGAGGCTTGGGTAAGGTACCTTGTCTTTTGCCTTTGCAGACTGCATGGGGGAGGGTATCTTTACCTGCCATTACCTTACCTAACTTAGTGCCTAGTGCGGCGTGCCTGCGGCCTGCCCTCGGGCCTCGATATCAAGCCCGCTTGCTCTTGCTGTTGGTAAATCACATCTCGACTTTTCGGAGTTGGTTCTTGGACCCCGGTACCCAGCTGAAGCTGTGGCGTGAGCGCCTCTGTCTCACCGTGTGCTCTATCCGCTTTCGTGACTAACCCGAACTCGATCGCTCCATCTAGACCTGCAGAAATATACCACGTTGGACCGGGTGGATGGGGCAAGACTAAGGTAAGCAAGCACCTGATGGCCAAGTCTTGCCTGCCGGCTTGAAGTCCGCTGAGCAAGTTCTAACGAATCACGTCTAACACATAAAATGGACCCTGAGATACCGGAGGCCGCTCGTGGCAAGGGCTTGGCGCCTTGCCATTTCCATTTCCATCAAATCATCCCCTCTCAACATTGTCCGACATGTTCAACATCCATGGTGACGGGCCTCAAACTAACGTAAACTAACACTTTACTACTGCTACTTCGACAATCTGACAGGTAGCATTTCTGCCCGCGCTAGATCCTGCTTGCCCTCGTTGGTCAAGTCAAAAACCCACCACAGTTACGAAGGAGCTATTCTGGTCGTCATTTCCGGCCATCACCGTTGCATCGTGACACCAATCGACAAGCCCTGAATCCTCCAGTCGATCAGGCACAGCAAGTAGTCATGATTACTGATGTCTACGAGCAGAGAGGCATCTGTATCGCAATGTCATTCGTTGCCTCATGCCTACTCATCATCTCCTCGTCAATCGCCACCAATCTACTGACTACCTGCGATCCATAGGACAAGGAGGGGCTCAATCAACTTCTGGGTCCGCATCTCTCGTGTTGCGCGTATGCCTAACATTGCAGGACAATGGTACCTGCGCAGTCATCTGCTAGATGGCTCTGCTCCCCGTCCAAGAGTCGCCATTCTTCTTGAGATCTCCGACATATGGCACGTTGCCCAATGGAAATCCCGTTACAAATCTCGGCTTTATCTTGTGCTCTCGCGTATCCACCCCAACGGATGTCTTGCAGCAGCAGGAGGCTATCTTCGAACGGTGTCGCCAACGGAAGGGGAAGCGTCACTTAAATCCAAGAACCGGGAAAACAGGGTGTTCAGGATATCACGGTTGACGATCTGTGGGTTGCCGCCAATGACACGCCTGGATTCTTCCCCATTCAAGCTTATCCTTTTAGGCGGCTGTTGAGCATTCCGGATCTGTCGTTCGTTCCCCGTTGAAAGTCAGACATCCCGCCCTGTCCTCCCAGACAGTAGACTTCGCCCCCGGACCCGGCATACATGGGGGCGAAGGACGCTCCAGCCCGACTAGGAAAAGCAAACATGACATCCAGGGCAATTGCTGCCTTCGGCCACGCAGCCACGATCAAAACCTGGACCTGTATCCGTACCGTTGCACTGGGACCAGCTTCGATCAAAAGTTCCAACTCCCAACGCCGTGCCTCAAGTGACGATCCCAGTCTATCTTGGAGCCTTTTTCTTAGACGCACCGCGACAGCCGAAGAACAAGGCGCGCGTGCTTTTACGGAGTCATCGTGCACGGCTCAGGGGCAATATCACTGGCCGAGAGCACGTAGGAATCGAGTCCATATTACCAAGACCCTCTGTTCTGATGGCTTCCTAGCGTCCAAAACCCCCAATTTTCCGTCGAGCCTGTCGGTCAGGGTCCACCGACAGACGCGTACTTTTGGGGTCACGGGTGGTTTTTCGCATGAGGAGCTCGCTTACTCCGGCCGGCTTTGTCTCTCCCTCGGTAGTCTTGAGCCGCAAGAGCTCAGCTCAGCTCACCAGAGAGCAAATGTCCAAGCTCTTATGGCTAATCAAACCCACAGGTGGAATGTGTTGATCGACTTTGGTAGCTCAGAGTCTTCTTGGCCGGAACAACACTTAAATCTGGATTCTGCATGTACGTCGATTGGCTGCGCAGATACAAGCAAGATCTCACGACAGTCAAGTAAATCGGAGTTCCCGTTTGGTCAGCTGCGTTGCCTCCTCATTATGCCTAGTGGCTTGGGGTCCGGTCTGGCCTCTTCCTGGATGATACCCCTACCACCTCAGCAGGAGACCTCGCAATCCTTGCTCTTCCCCTCTGTCGGACCAGTCTCGGCCAGGGAAAGTCATCCTCCACCCGTCTCTCAAATATTTTCAGGCCGTCTGTGATTTGCCGGCCCGTTGCGCTTTCTTTTACTGCAGCAACATGCCAGGCCTAGAAGCCCTTGGTGCGGCCTCGCCAGCTGATGCTCTTGTTCACATCCCCTCAAGTCTTTCTGATGAAACAGGCGGCAGCTAAGGCTCTAAAACCCCACAGCCTCTTGCACATGATAGATGCCCAACCTCCTAAGACGTATGGGTTACCTTCCGTCGTATGCTCCTAGAAGAGAAATCCCAATTTCCATTCCGCCATCTACGATCATCAACATTCCCTCTGAAGGCATAGTTCCCCATATTTCGAGAGTGCGTCGTCGTCGTCGTCTACCCGCACAATAGCCAATGGAAGCGGTTAGTGACCTTTTGGTTCCAAAAGAGCTCGGCGTAGAGCTCCACAGGGCAACACTCTCCCCCAGCGGATGGACAACTTACCAACCCTTTCAACATAGGAAAAGGAGAGGAACCGCATCCGGGATAACCAGCGCCGTTCGAGGGCTCGGAAGAAAGAGTACGTTCAAGAGATTGAGCAACGTCTTCGGCAGTGTCAACTTCAAGGAGTCGAGGCTTCTGCTGAAGTACAGCAGGCGGCACGCCGAGTTGCAGATGAGAACCACAAGCTTCGACAACTACTTCAACATGTAGGCTACGGCGACGAAGTCGTTGATCAGTACATTCACACCGGCAAGCTCGCTTCTCCAAGTCATCGCAGCCTGCATATTGCAAACTCGAGCGGCAGCTTGGTTCCTGAGAAAGCGACAGAAACGTTGGAGGGTCTTTTGGTGCCACGGCGGCCACCATGCCTCGATATCCAGATGCCGATTCTACCAACTAGCAGAAACACAAGCCCGGACCGAACCCTCTCATACGGTCCTACGCCAGACTCGCCGGTCGAAGAATATGGTTCTCCATCGGAACCTGTCCATCAAATCCATGGTTCGTCGGTTGTTTCACCGACAGACTTTGGCTCTCAACAGGTCTACGCTCGCGCCGGCGACATGAAAAACCGAGATTTCGCAGGCCATCATCACCGCCCACTTCCGGTCGAGTGGGCAAATACCCACCAAAATCAGTCACCCCATGGTATTTCATCAAATGTTCAGGGATTCGGGGCGAATCAGGCGCTCGATTATCATCCGCCATTCCCGGCCATTGATCCTTCAGCAGGCATGCTACCCCCAACATGCGGCGGACCGCCATCCATGCCGTATGCCTCGTACCCGACTTTTCATCCCCAGCCGCCAGCGTTCGTCGCAGCTGCTCCTGGTCATATCGGACATGTCCCCGTCACCGAAGGGGATCCTGCTATTGAGGATCGAAAACCTCAGTATAGACACCCAGAAGACCATTCTTGGTCATCATCGGACCCTTTTACCAGATCGCAATACAATCCCCGACACAACTGAAGCGGCATCGAGCGTTGTTCTTTGAAGATCTCGACGCAGATTTAGACCTTTCTAAACAAGGCTTTCGATCCTGCAGACGAACCCAACACCGACAATGGAGAATGGTTGTTGTAAAGTCAACCACAAAGGCTGAGCCCCATTGGAAATCCAATGGAATACTCGGCCGAACAAATTGGCCGGGGCCCTATTCTTGAATGGAGATCTCGAATAGCAACTCGCAGTGCATTGGCCTTCCTGTCTTGGAGCCGTACATTGGCCTTGCCGTGTACACAATCAAGCACAGACGAGGTTGGTCAAAGGAAACCAGTCTTATTGTTCCCTACCCATGTCACCGAGGCTGGTGGGAAGGAATCGGAGCACAAAGCCAACGAAAGCTCGTGGCCTTTCGCAAGTGCTGAAAACGTTGCGTTCTCTATGGATACAGACCAAGAGTCTTTATCTCTGCTGCAGCGTTCTTTGTACGAAGCATGCGAATGGAGCAGCTGGATAGGGGGCATGCCGGCGGCCTGTTGAGCCAGCCAAGAAGGTCCAATACTTGTCAGCAAAAGGCTCACGGGTCACAAGACGGAGGAGCTGATAAGGGTCGTCTTTAATGAATCTAATGCCCACGGTTACCACTTAATTCTCTTGTTTTCATTCACCCCCAACAAAGTCAACTCTGTGTGTCTACTTGACGAAATTTTATCCACATCTTACCCCTTTTACATCTTACTAAAACCATAGATCATTCGAAGCTTCAATGCCGGAATACCGCAGCCAAGAGAAGCCGGATGTGGTGGCGATATTGGCTACATCACAGCGAATCGAGTTTGAGAGATGCCTTGCGGAAATCAAAGGACGAAATGGAGGTAACAGATCCGACACGATGGGAGTGCTCCAGCGTCTAGCTAGCGAAGCCGAAGACGCCAGCAGCATTCTATTAAGTCTTCAGGCAGAGAATATCGGGGGCTCATATGACATGATACATCGTATGCTAGCACAGCAGACTCTACTGATCAAGACGCAGCTTCTGGAGGTTGCGGGAGAGATGGGGAAACCGTTCCTACCGACGCCAATGTCTAATCCACGGTTGGCGCAACAATCGATGATCCAGCAGCAGCAGCAGCAGCAGCAGCAGCAACAGACACGGCAGCAGGAGGAGGAAGACGAACACCAAAAACCGCCGTCCCCTTTACCAAGACCTCCTAGGCTGCCGAAAGTAAAACTACAATTCAATCAGCTCCCCTCATCTAGACAGCTTTCTGACACTACGCCGACGCTTGACACGATGGACCGGTCTCAACCCTCTGAGAAGCAGAAGTCCCCGATCCGTGAGATCAAGGGATTCCCTCCTCGGATCACTAGAAGGCGGCGTCGTGTTCGACAACAAGCGCCGGCAGAAAGTGGCGGAAGAAAAGACCATGGGCCAACTAGGCCAAGGGGAACGTATCAAGGAGGGAGTGTCCGTCGTCATGATCAGGCTAGTGTAAGTCCTTCCCCTGAGAAAAGATTTAAGCTGGGGCCCACCGCAAGTAACAAATCCTCGCGTCCAGCGCTCGGAAAACCTCACTCAAAAGCGAATGAAGAGCGAGACCCCTTGAGTCGCCGGAAGCCGGGGGATGTGAGCGGTGCGGTAAACCTCTGCAGAGTACGGGATGAACAGGAAGAGAGAATCGATGCGGCTAACGTAGAAAAGTGGACGAATGACCTCGACTCTAGGGCGGAGAGTAAGGACGAGGGCGAGACAAAGATGGAGGTGGAAAGGGGAAAGGGAAGTAAGACAGGAGACGAAGGGCAAGGGGGAGAAACTCGCGGGAGGAAGAGGTCCGCAGATAACGACTTGTCCCCATTGACTATCAAGAAACCTCGCTCTGAGCCTCAGGGCGGGAAGAACGGTGGTAGCCCAGGGCGCCTCAAAAGGTTCCTAAGCTCCCTTAACCCCTTTCGGAGAAGACGAACTAAGTCTCAGGAAAGCAGAGACGCCGAACCAACCGCCGTTGTACCGAGCGTACCAGACTCGCCGAAGCCAGTGGGGTGCTACATCTTCCCGGAGGCCCTCAACCCAAGACACTTATTCGGCACCGGAAAAGAGGACCAGAGGGCCCTGCACTACCGCGACGCCATCGAAGAACTCATCCAGCTTGTCGAAGACGCGCCGCACGCAATCACGTCCGACGACCCCCTCATGCGCGAGTACCACGCAAGACAATTCAAAGAAATCCAGACCGTCCTACGCAAGATCCCTTCCAAGGCCATATCGAAGAAGATGATTGACGACAAGCTCCTGGCGATCCGGACGGAGGAGAAGGCGATTCAGGAGGGGAAAATTCCACATTTAAGGGGGAAGAAGGCGAGGGCGGAGCGTGAACTGCAGCTAGTGCAGGAGAAAGAGGTTCTGCACCTTCGACTATGGGCCTGCAATGAGCTGAATGACAAGATTTTTGCGTTTGGGGAAGTGGGGGCGGCGATTTTTGCGAATTGGATCGTGGAGATGAAGTTGCGCGTCGAGGGGGAGCTCGAGTTCGCGGAGAGGGCGCTGATGATGCCGTATCTCGGCGGGGTTCAGGAAGATGGTCGGGAGTTCTATTGTGTTTGAAGAAGAGTGGAAAGTTGGGTTTATGGTTTATAGAGGACTTGGAAAGAGGGGGAAGGCATATATACTAGAGACGATGTGCTTCTTGTCAGGTAGGTTAACTGAGATAGATATCACAGAAGCAGTTGGTTTGGCTCGTTGAACGGATATCAAAAGAGAATGCATTACTCGCGCCAACTCCTCTTAACTCCACCGACCTTTATACGTACACGATCAGGGGGAAACACGTAAATTTTGCCCAGTAACGCTGACCATTCCGTTCTGTCTTTTTTCGCTATTTTCGTCTTAAAGTGTTTTGTGCCGTTTGAAACAAAAAAAACGCTTTGGTATCGTCATTATACCGGGAATATCTCTCGCCTCCACTGGGGGAGATAGAGTCCATGACCAAACCACCTCACCCTTACAAAAAGTAGTCCGCCACGGGCTTCTTCGCAGGCATGCCCCTAGAATCCTGCGGCGCGGCCTGGAACACGCGGTACCTCCTCGCGGGCCCGGGGAGGAGCACCTGGTCGTCGGTGCCCCGGATATTACCGTCGCTGCGTCCCCGATCGCCGTTGCTGCGCGCAAACACGCCCGTGCCCGAATCGTCCTCGGCCAGCTCGAGGATGGCCGCCACGTTGCCGCAGCGGTAGCAGTAGTTGGGCGCCGACCACACCGTCACGATGCTGGCGTCGAACATCTCCTTGAAGCCTTCCATGACCAGCTGGTGGGCGCGCGCGATGAGCGAGAGGTCGTTCTTGTGGTTGAAGTCGCGGACGATATCGGCGCCGAAGAGGAAGCCCGCACCGCGCGGCGACAGGCCCCAGCCGTCGATCTCGTCCGGGTCGGACCAGAGCAGGTCGCACATGGCGCCCTCGTGGGGGACTTCCTGCTTTCTGTCCAGCAGCCGGATCTTATCTACGCTGTCTATAAGCGGGGAAAGACCGCCGTGAACGCAGAGAATGGCTCCGGCGGGGTTGCCTATGGAACCTGACGCGCTTCCTGATGCGCCGCTACCTGGCGGGCCTGTCTTGTCGCCGCCGGACGAGGGGGCACCGTTGGGGCTATTCGTAGGTTGCCTTTGTGGTCGTCTCTGTCGGGGGAAGCGGCTCATTGTTGAGCCGTTCTGGTCGCAGACCTCAATCTCAGTATCTTCGCTGATGGGGTCTTGTCCCGGGGTGGAGTTGAATGTGTGTGATGCGCCGAGAACGATGGCGCCGAGGGCGAGGTAGTCGAATACGTCGCAGCAGTATCGCCAGACGTTGGCGGAGCCGTATTTCCGAAGGCACTCGTCGTAGAAGCCGTAGACGGTAGTGATTTGGCGGGATTCGTGGTTGCCCCTGATAAGGGTCATGCGGTCGGGGTAGCGGACTTTGAGGCAGAGGAGAAGGAGGAAGGACTCGAGGGAGTAGAAGCCGCGGTCTACAAAGTCACCTGTACGAAGGAAGCGTCAGCACGTCCGTTAAGTGCCGTGGGTAAGCGAGAGATCATGAGGGCATACCCATGAAGAGGTAGTTGGTATCGGGAACATCGCCGCCTACTCGGAAGAGCTCCATGAGGTCGTGGAACTGGCCGTGAATGTCGCCACATATCTAGTCCGATGTCAGCGATTACTCGCCGGCAAATTATAGCGGGGGTTCCTCATCGTACCGTGACGGGGGCTGTGACCGTGACAACGTTTCCTTCCTCAATGAGCAGCTCGCGAGCCTTGTGGCATAGCTCTCGGACTTGCGCTTCGGGTATCGGTCGACAAGCGCGCAGTTGCGCGATAGCTCTGTGCTAAGCGTCAGCGCCTTCTCGGTCATGAGATGTAGTACGCGATCGCGAGTATGCTCACTTATCGAGATCACTCATTGTGATATTTGAGGAGGGGTTCCCTGGTCTGGGTCGCGGCGCCCGAGGCCGAGGACTCGCGATATCGAGGTGGAAAGGATAGCGGGTATTCGTTCTACTTTATAGCATGTCGCGTAGGGTATTCGAGTCGGCGCGATCGACGGCAGCTACCTTAACGTCTTCGTAAGAATGCGGGTTGAGCACTTGCGTAGGGGCGATCAAGGCTTCGAGGATGGGATGGCGTCAGTAAAGTTCAAAGAGGTGCATGGTTGCCCTCTAGCGGTTGCCGGTCGCCTGCCAACCCTCAATTCGAACTTCCAATCGCGCCGGGATCTGCAAAAAGTGGATAGATGGCCAATGCGTCGCTGTGGGTTCTCGCTGGAAGTGCATCCCGGCCCGGGGAATTGCTCAGGGCTCCATCTCGGGGCTTGAGTTATTGCGGCGACCGAAGATTAGATCCTCAGGCTCGCGACCTGCAGTTGTCGGCTGGCATGTCACGTCGCCCAGGGTGGTCCCACTCCGGGCCGCCGGAATCCAATCAGAAGGCCTGCATATCAGTTCGGGTCATTAAGCTTCACTGCAGGTTTGCGAGAAAATCATCCGTTGGCCATCGTCATTGCGAACCTCAAGCCTTCGTTAAGAGGACTACATTCGGATCCGTCACCCCGTCGCGCGAGCATGGTGCTGTCATAGGTGAGGAGCCTCACTCAATTGGGTTATTTTGATGAATTTCAAAGTCGCTAACGTCCAATGGCATGCAGAAGTTCGAAGCCTCCTTTTTCCGAACACAAAAAAAAAAAAAAACCGCGATCATGCCACCACACCCCCTCCACCCGAGGTCGCGCATGACCTCTTCGCTCTTTGCAACCACGGTTGTCGCAAGCTTCTTCGTAGTCGGCATGCCGCATCTGTTACCGTGTCCGGCACCGAGAGTCACATACGCCGATGGAGAGATAGTGGTGGGCGAGGACGGTCGCCGAAGGAGGCGCCGCCGTCGCGAGGCAGCCCCCGAAATCAACGACGGCGTTGTCAGCTTCAATCAAATGGGCGACGAGGAAACGATACGAGCACGAGAGGAGCGATTGAGGAGGGAGTGCCCAGTACCGAAACCTGGTGGCATTTTGGGCGAGTGGTTGGGATTCCACGGGCCGAGCAAAGCAGAAGATAGTAGAGCGGGAAGGTGACGACAGCAGATGAACATATGTACAAACAACTCAAAGATACCATTTACGACCAATAACTGCGGTCCCAGCGGCATTGGATGTGCGATGACGATAGACTGGATGACACGCAGGAGATGGTCATTGTGACGAGCATGCAATCACTCAGCGAACAATCGCTCTGCCGAATTGAGAGGATATGGGTTAAGGACATCCGCTTACGCCAGAAAAAAAAGAGTTCACCCCCCCGGTGCTGAACTGGGGGCTACATCTCTTGGTGCTCATGCTGGGATTCGAACTCGGGTACTCGCTAAGCCTGTCGTCGAGTAGGCTGGTTGGCGTTTTAATTGTTGACCTTGAACCACTTCACCAACCAGCCAGTTTGACCTGACCCCCGACCTAGAGGGCGCCTGCTGGCTGGTGACAGGAATGGGATTGAGGGGGTCTATATGGGCTTGCTCTTGTGGTGTATTCAGTAGAGCTGGGATGAATACACATACACGGGATGATTCACTGAAGGTGGCTGATGCGCCGCGAAGAGTTTGGGAACCAAGGACCCGAATTAGGCAGAAAGGGCAATCAAAACCTCGCATCCTCTAGTATACCGCAGGATCTCGAGAAAGGGGCCCTTGCTCAAGTCAGCAACGAAAACAGAGCCTTCTGATTGATGCCACAGTTGTTGCCTCAAGCGGCGTGTTCAACAATATCTCAAGCGTTTGGTCGACAATACTGAGTTCTCGAATCGAGGCTACAGCATCGCAACATCGGCTGCCGCGCCTGTTCTAACGTCAATGGGCGCGAATGAGCGACTAGTACACCGCGTACCCCCTCTCTCTGGCTACGTCGAGATAGATGTTGGCGTAGGTTATCAGGTGCAGAGGTGCTTTGGACCCTGCCCTGATAGCCAAATCACGATTCAACTTCAAGTCACGGGATCGACACGCAACCCATCGTGCACGATAATCCATAGCCCAAGCAGTTCGCGATGTTCAGAGTCACGCACGCAATGATATACCTCTGCTACCGATACTTGGGGGCTGTTGGTCGGGGCTTGCCAAGTCTAAATAAGCAGTCATCCTAAAAAACAAGGTTATTTTGGAATTGACTGCACCTGAAACTTAGGTGCAGTTCGCCCTTGCAGAGTTGCATCCTCTTGATCCTTGCGAGCTTCGACCAAGAAAACGGCTGGGGACGGGCCCAGCGGGTCGTTCTTGGTGAGAATAGATGAGTGTCTTACTCGAGATTTTTCGATCTTCACAGTCCGAAAGCGGCTGGCTGGATGGAGCCCTAAAAAGTCTTCAAATTGCTATTTTCTCCGAGTCATCATCGCTGAAGATGATCAAGATCGCCGCCGGTCTCTCTCTCGTGTTCCGTTTCCCAACGAAGTTCTCATACCCCTGAATCTGGTGTAAGAAGTGCCGTGAGCTTATTACGTATGATCTTCCGGGAAATTTTACACACAGGATTCGCCTCGCCTCAACAGTGAATCCAATGCCTGCCTACGTTGCCAGGGCATAAAGTAGCAATACTGAAAGCTCTACCATTTTTTCCACGGCTTCCTGGTGTTCCGTCCATGACCGGGCGATCGTGGGGGATGAGACGTCGGAAGAGACTCAGGCAAGTGATCCGTGCTGCTAGGTCACGCCCCTGCCTCTGGCCCGCAACCTTAACACCCGCTAACAATTTCTGACGCAGGGAGCCCCTGATGGACGCCTTGGCGTAGAGGAACGCTGGCCAACTTTTTAGTCATTGTTGCTCCCGCAAACCACTCACTCACACACACACACACACAACGACGCATATACCCTTACGAGGCTTCACAGCCTCTCTTCGTGGTTAAGAATGACAAGGTTGTGTCTTCTTCAGGCTTGTGTGCGGGGCGGAGGTGTACCACATGGGCGGCTTGCGGTCTGATCTCCAAAGCGCCAAGAACGGCTCTGATCAGTCGAAACAGCCGGGAGGACGAATCACGAAGAACGCCTGGAGCCTTGGGCCCATTGCGATTTTAGCATCGCGGTTTAGAGTTGGGGTGACGGGTGCCATCTGTTTTTTACCGGGGCACGAACTGAGACCGGATTCAGCACACCCATCGTATGCCGGTCTTTTGAGGGTGGAGACCTTGCATCCTGCTTCGCACCTTGGGGAGGCAACTTGCAAGACGCCACCGGCCTGGCAGACCGTTGGCATGTTACGCAACCCGAGAATTCCGGATGGCATCTGTCTCATGAGCCCTGGTAGATGCCATCTGATCAGCAGAGGCTCTGGGCTGGGGGAAAGGGGAGTGCCAGCCCAATACCGGGCCTGGTCCACACGACGACTTATGCTTAATGACAGTCCGGGAAGATGTGAAGTTAAATAGACTTCTTTTCCCCGAACCAGAATATGTTTTGTTCCTCATCCCTTCTCTCAGGACAGTGTCTTTTTTCTACTTCAAACTTTTCAATTCTATTCTTCAAGAGCTGTGCTCTATTTCCATTCATTCTCAGCTTCTCTGTCATTCCTTGATACCCCAATTGTAAGTCGTCCTCCAATCTAGAGCTGGCTAGGAACACAACGCTAACTAGAATCTCCAGTTTGTACCGTTTTCACTTCACGACAGTCATTCCAAAATGAAGTCCTCCATGATCCTTCTCATTGCTACCGGCCTGGTGTCGGGTCTGAGCATCCCCAAGCAGCTGGACACCCGCCAGGCCATCGCTCAGGCCCCGGCTGCCGCTCCCGCAGCCGCTGCTCCTGTTGCGGCACCTGCTGCTGCCCCTGCTGCTCCCGCTGCCCCTGCCGCTGAGGCACCCGCCGCTGCTCCCGCGGACGCCGCCGCCGAGGAGGCGAAGAAGAAGGCCGAGGAGGAAGCTGCCAAGAAGGCGGCCGAAGACGCCGCCAAGGCTGGCGAGGGCGCTGCCGCTGCTCCCCCGGCCGAGGCCGCTCCCCCTGCCGCCGCCCCTCCTGCTGAGGGTGCCGACGCCGCCGCTGAGGCCGCGAAGAAGGCACAAGAGGAAGCCGCCAAGAAGGCTGCAGAGGACGCTGCGAAGAAGGCACAGGAGGATGCGGCCAAGCAGGCCGAGGACAAGCAGAAGGAAGCCGCCAAGGAGGCTGCTAAGCAGGCTGAGAAGGCTATGGGAGACTACCAGAAGGGCAACAACAACAACGACAACAAGGGCAACAACAACAACAACAACAATGGCAACAACCGCAACAATGGAAACAACCGCAACAACAACAATAACAACAACAACAACGCCCTGTTGCTCCAGAACATCCAGCTCCTCCTCGCCGCCATGAACCTCCAGAACGTCGTCAACGTTCAGGCCCTCGCCCAGCTCCAGGCGCAGCAGCAGCTCGTGATGCTCGCCCAGCTTCAGCAGCTCGCCCAGCTCAACGCCGTCGGCCTCGTCAACCAGGTCCAGGTCGTCGCTCTCATGCAGCAGGGTCTCGTCCTCGGTGGCGTCCAGCTCGGCGGCGTCCAGGTTGTCAAGATCCAGTGAACCATTCGTTCCAGAATTTCAGGGGGAGGGAGCATTCAGTCTACAGGCGATGTAACTGCAAAAATGTAATTGACACAATTTCTACCGGGCAAGGAGCAATCATTCAATCAGTGTTCAGCACCGGGGGCGCCACTGTGTTTGTTCAGATGTCTCGTGCGTTGCGGAGGTGTGAGGGAACCCGCGCCGCGTGATCGGTTGGGTTTGGCATCCTTGGTGGACGGTCTCTACTGAAGGTTGAGGTGATCCTGGTATGACCCTGGTAGCAGTCCTTGGTCTCCTAGAAAGGGGTTGGGAATCGGTGGTCCACATGACATGGGAATGGGTAACGGTGCATTATTCAACGGCTCTACATATCAGACTAGGATTTGGCAAGTGCTTTAATGTAGTTTATGAAAAAAAAGTGTCAATGATCCACCTGCCAAAACCTTTGAGTTTCACTTTTCTTTCCGTTGGCAGTTGTGCCTGTCTCAAAACTCTGCTGATGTCGCGAGGGGTTCGTGTTTAGGGCGGGATATCCCTGTCCGAATGCCAAGTGTGTTGACAACAGCTTTACTTAAGCTTATCCTCGATAAAATCTCCTTTGATCGATCTGATTACTTCTAACTCAACACAATGTTTGCCATACTATATCACCTTCATTTGTATTCCAGTCAGCTAAAAGTATTGTTACGTCTAAATCCAGTTCACCTGATCAGTGAATGAGTTACACTTGGGTAGAAAAGGATTCTCACCGTGGTGGTAGACGATATGACCAGCACATAAAGTCCGTTCGCCTCCTCACTCAGTGTCTGCATCAAAAGTCGACAGTCATGTGTGGTACCGAGATGCCCTCGTCAAACGCAAATCCAACCCTCCTCTTCCCGGAAACGCAGAACATCCGGATTGCGGGGAAAGGAGACGTCAAAAGAAAAGAAGGTGAAGAACCAGGGGGCGACATCTGCAGTCCTGTCGCGCGATCCGTTGTCGTCAATGCCATGGAGGGAAGATGCCTCATCGACAGAAGCCTGAGACACTTGGAGGGGTTCGGGGTTGGTGAGCCGAACAGGGGGGGCTCCGATGAGGTTACGACAACCTTGATAGCAGGAAAAAGGGCGGTGTTGCACTTTGCGCCCGGACCGCTTGTCAGTGACGCTAGAGGTTCTGCCTTGCTGGAAGAGGAGAATTGCGGGGTCTGTGATAGCCAATTAACGCCTAGTCAAGACCTGCAGGGGCCGTACAGAGGTCCGAGGGATGCTGATGGACCCCACTGACACGAGTTTAAACAGCCACTAAACCTTAGTTGAGCCGCTCCGACGTCAACGGTCCTCCTCCTCCCGTCTCTCTCGATTCTTTGCGTTGAGTCCCTGCTTAGACTATGCCAATCACAACCACTCATTTCAATACCAAGAACGAGAAGGGAATGATACCCTAAAACCCCAATTCGATGATCAATGTCACCATGACCCAACGCATCGCCGGCGAGCCGGCTCGGCAGTCTCCTAAGGCAGACCCGAAAACCCTGACGCGAGTGCAACGAGACCAGCTTCATTCGTCCCGTCTTGACTGCTGTCAGAGACCCCAGCGGGCCCAGCCTTAGTATGACCCATCGGACCTCTCATCACCCGGCCGAGCATACCACTTACTCCAGCTAGGCACGCAGGTCTTTTCGGATGACACACCTGTCATCGCAGCATCGTCCCGACTTGCGCAAGTGTCTGACTGACTGCCTCACCACCACCCCTCGCTTTTCCAGATTATCTTCCAACTTCCCTCCGCATTGTCGCCGCACATTGCCAACACCACCCTCACAAAACCTGCGATCAAACCAAGTGCTTTTTTCACCGCTGCTTCTCATCACCAGACCCTACGAAACAGATTTTTGGCTCGGTTCTGCATGTAGATCTCATGAGTCTATTCCAGTTTCCGTCCTCCATCCCCTGTCTCCCTTCTCTCACTCAAAGTCCGCGGGAAGAAAATTGGCTGGAAGGGCCATGTGCCGGCTTGGCGATGGCTGGGATGAAAAGTTCCGTGTCACCATTTGCCGTCGGCCGAGTAGCCGCAGGACCCGCCAAGTAAGGTTATTTGGGCATTGCGTTGCGTTGCTTGGCCCGCGGGAGCCTCAATGGCCTTGACTTGCTTCGTTCCCTCACCGTGAACTTTGATTACTAGGTCTCGTCATGACTTAAGGGCTTGTAAGTGAATCTCTACTAATCTATCTATGCTTGACAATGAATTTCCATCTCCAAAGACCGTATTTGGAGATGAGGCTGGTTGAGGGCACCCTCAAGACGATTAATCATGGGCTTGCTTTCATCGTCTATTGCTAGCTTCTGCTAGAATCACCAACCATCCCAAGAGAGGTCCCTAGATGGTGCCAAGGGTGGCATCGCTTCCGTCATCCGAAGAAACGTCCTTTACTCCCATGCTATACCTGTCCCCTCATGACCCCTAGTCTTAATTCCCCCCCCCCCCCCCCCTTCAACCCGTTTGATCCAACATTATTCCGTACCAGCGATATCGAGACTCTGATACGCATCGGATCACTTGTTCACGACTCTTCCGAGCGCAAATCGTACCTTAATTCGCACTTGGCAATGGCCCAAACGCCTCATGCCTTGCTGAAGAGTTCAGACGTCGACGTATAGCACTCTTGGCTTCGAGTATCTTGGCTTCTGCTCTCGTCGACATATAAGCCATCCTTCCCGCCGCGAATATCGGGCATTCTTCTTTCTTCTCCATCCACACGCATTTAAGTCTCTTCATCCAGTCCGATCTCACTCATTCCCTTCATTCATTCTCTTCAGAGGTGAGTCTCATCGCAAGACCAGATGAACAGAATACCATACTAACCAATAACCAGCTGTGCTCTTTGTTCTCTTCACTCCTTTCAGGTCGTTTACAAACAAAACCAAAACCACTCTTTACAGGAACAATCAAGAGCTGTGCTCTCTTCAAACATAATACATTTTTAATCAAACTCCCCAATCCGCCAACCAGCCAAAATGCGTTTCTCAACCATCATCCTCTCCACCCTCACCGCCTTGGCCGCCGCGGCACCCGTTGCCGACACCCTGGAACCCCGCCAGGGCAACGGTAACAACAACAACAACAAGAACAACATCGACCTCGCAAACCTCAACAACCTCCAAGGCTTCCGCAACCTCGACCTAAACTACCTCCTCGCCCTCAACAACCTCAACCTCCAGGGGCTCGGCCAGCTGGGCCAGGTCAACAACCTCAACCTCGCCGCCTTCCAGAACCTCTTCGCCGCCCAAAACTTTGACCTCAACGCCCTGCTGCAGCTGCAGCAGCTGTCCACCGTGCTGGCGATCCAGCAGCAGGGCGTGTTTGGCAACGTCAACCTGGCGCAGCTGAATCTCGGCGGGCTCAACTTGGGGCTCATTGGCGGGGTCGGGCAGGTGAACTTGGGACAGTTTATCGATCAGGGCTTGGTTGGGCAGATTAACCAGGTCGTTCAGCAGTCTTCTGGTACGTTTTGACTTCGCGTATGAACTTTTGAATGTGCGGGTGCTAACCAGAGACTCCATTTGCAGTCGTCGTCGTTGCAAAATAAGCACTCTACGTCTGTCCTCTAGGACTAGGTGATGTAATGCATTCATGAAATGGGCTACGGGTTGCCACATTTGGGACACGGTGTTTCAATCTGTTTTTCTATCTCTCTTAATGACTGGCGCATGAACTTTTCTTGATTCTACAAACTGAAGGGGGACTGGTCGATACAGGTACTAGAATCAAGATGACGAGATGGCATGTATGGATATAGGTACCGTGACAAATTTACGAATCTTCATCCAGAACCTTTCTCCGTGTACCACTCTCACGTGAAACTATGGACCGACTGTCAAATGCACACAAGATTTTGATGAAGCTTCTCTGATCGATCCCCCTTTAGGTTTCTTGACTCCAGTCTAAAGTCAAGAGGGCCAGGGAAAGATATTGAAACATGGCACAGTTGAGGCCCAGATTTGAACTCGGTATTCGAGCAGCGGACATAAATTGGCCTAATCCTACTTTAGTCGCCAGTCCATGAGGTACTTGTGTATCCAAGGAAGTGTAACAAGCGTCACGAGCACGAATGTTCACGAGCGAGCTTCTGATACACAGTAGACATACCAAAATCCTCGCAAAGATCAAGCAGGTGCTTGTACCTATCTAGCTAAGAGTCTCTGGCATCTTCCGTTCGTTTTCTCAATGATCAAAACCGGCGATCAATAAAGCAATGAAAGACCTCTGCCTAGTCCGACATTACATTGGACATGAACGGTACGCCCCCACGCCCCCCGTCTGCTAAATCTCCCATCACAGGCACATATCTTATCTGCCTTGAACTTCGGACCAAACAAGTGTACCTCTAGCTTCTCTTTCTTCATGATCTTTTTTGCAGTATTGACAGCCAAAATTGCCGGGAACGACTCCCTCCACTCATGTATACAATCAAGACTTCTGTCTAACCATCTCAATCGCGATATCAAACGCAAACAGCATTTACTGACGCGGACACAAGAAGAGATCGAGTCAAGATCACTCAGGAGGTTTAGGAAATCCAATACCCATAATTCAAGTCAAATACAGAATCCCACGAGAGATGGGATTCGGTAGCCCCCATCTGTTGCTCGTACTACTCCATCAGGACTATCCCAAAATAGGTCAACATTATTCGTTAGCCCAACCATAGCTGCACCACAGGGGTTTTGTCAATACCAAACACCCTCTCTCGCTGACAAGTATCTCGCAGCCGCTGTACTTCGCTGTGCCGATGCTCAACAAAGGTATTGCCCGATCACTCCGTCAACGCTGGCTCTACAAGTCAACACCAGATAAGCTATTCCAGACGCAAAGAGTATCTGATGACCCTTCATTTTAGTAAGCGATTGCTCACTGACCAACACCGCATAAGAATGGGACACCATAAACATCCAGCCTGTTTACGAGGTCCAGATCCCAGGTTGGGACATATCCCAAGGACGAGAGGACGTCAAAACATACAGCAATGCCAAAGTTCAAGTTTCCCATATCAATCCTGACCTGTTGCTCACGAGACTTCATTCCTTTCCGCATCGCCGGTAAGATATCAGCACTCAAACAAGCACAAATTATATCCGTTGGGAACGTCCTACTCTGCCGCCAACATGTCATCACCCAACTCATCTTCGTAAGTGCCTAGCGCTCAGTTTGTACACGGCATCATGTGTCATAAAAAACGATATTGAAAGCTACAAGTATTGTTTCCTCTCTATGAGATCACTCACTGTTTGCATAGCACGTGTTCCGCGGTCAACATCTCGTGAATACCACCACAGCATCAGTCCCCCACTTCCCACTTCATCCCACAGGTACGGTTCCGTCGCGTTGGTCCAAGATAGCAATTCATACACTCAGAAAACGGACAAACCACCCTCCAAGAGAATTATATCCCGTCACGCAAAGAACCTGCCTGATGGTGGTTACGTTGAAGAGCACGTGGTCACTCCCGTACACGCATACAAACACAAACCTCTACGGATACCCTATTGTTACATCTCTTTGCACATGATCTGATTTCGTACCACGATACCACAAAACACGCACATACACATCCCCAACAAATGGAAACACACACACACACGCACTCCATCCCCAGAATTTCGCACCTCCGACCACTAACATCCCCCTCTCGGACTCCTCCTAAGTGGAAACCTGCACGAGGGACTCAGGTAGAGACAGTGACCCGGAGCTGGCCGACCTGCATATGTGGAGAGGTACCCCGTCCGGAGTACACAGGAACCAAAGAAAAAAAAAAAGTAAAGAAGAAAAATGCCCACCTACGTAGTAAACACGGGAACTCTTGGCGGGGAGCCCGAAGATCAATACCCCGCCTGACTCTCCATTGACAATTCCCTTGCAACTGTCGATCTTTCGGGTATAAAAAGACATTATTTGTGGAAACATACGAATTTTCTCAGGGAGAGAAAAACAACGTGGGGAATAAAAAGAACCAAATAAACCCGTTGACCCGCGTGCCCTACTTAGGAGAACCGGACCGAAGGGAGCGTCGCGAGACAAGGCGCGTATCCTTTGTAGGGGTGTTCCCGATGCTCGGCGTTCTTGGAGACGGTTGCCTCCCCCCTCCCACCCGCCGGAATACGAAATGCATTGGCATCTTGGCAAGCCTTGTTGCGGAGCCGAGCATACGAAATCCGAAAGAGACAGGAAAGAAAAAGAAAGGAATTTGGCCCAGAAGGGCTCAGGAGGGGGGACATTCTCTCGAAACTGCTGATGCGATGTCGCCATTTGTGGCAGGTCTGCCAAGTCAGGGGGAGAGGTGACCAGGAATCGTTCCTGTTAGGTCAGAAACGAAATTTCGTGGGCACATTTGTGAGGCTGACATCTTGCAACGGGGATGGCGCAGCGCAGGTCTGAGATCCCCTAAGTGAGATTTGCTGGAATTGCAATTATTAGCTTAGGCTGTCAGCTTTGGGAGCTGAAAAGAAAAAAGCCTTGTCAGGTCAGACTTGCAGTAAGCATATGCACTCGCTACATGTGCAGCTTGTCGAAGCCTACCAAGGAGCTCACACGACAAACATGTGTTATCCAAACCCCCAGGACCTTGTTTCCAATTTTTTCCACTTGTCCTGCAAATGTTCGGCTTTGGCGTTGTAATAAAGCCAGCTGAAGTGTGCTGCCGCACGCACGCGGGGGACACGCAGAGCCCGTGACCCGGCCCCGGGCCGGAATCCTCAGTTCGTGCCCGACCGGTCGGGGTGGACCGAGGTGGACGTGATTGGACTACCTCTCACAGTCACAGCCCGCACGAACGTGACTGCAGGCAAGAGGCGGGGGAAAGCTCTAAATTTTCGGGAGAGGCACGCGTTGCATGGGACCGAGGGGAACCATAACTTGCAGGTGATTATCGGGGTGCATGCATGACAGACTTTAGATGCGGATCTTTGGTGAGCCGATCAGCTTCGTAGGTGCAGACAACTGATTTCGTACATCGTGGTGCCCGCGGAAGTGTTGTGTCCCTCACGGGCAGAGATTTCTTCGCTGGCTGCCCCAGGGTTTGATGACGAGGGGACGAAGGAAGACTTGGCAGACCTCGTTGAGGTTTGGTTGCGCGCTCGGACGACGTCCCGTGGGACGGCCGTTTGGCAGGCCATTTGGCATTGCCAGCGAGTCCGTCAGACGCTCTGATGGATATGGCCGCGCCTAATGACCCGCTAAGAGCTGCCTCGTGGCTGCGTGGCATCCCGCTTACGCCGCTTGCGGCGACAAACCTTCTGTCGGGCGTCTGTTGACCGAAGCCATTACGCCTATGTTAAGCCACTGGCTCAGGTAAGAGTGCTGCGATGAAGGCACGAAGGTTGGGTTAAGGTCATATGCGGCGGTTCAGGGCACCCCCCGCGAATCCAGACCCAACCGCTACAATTCCACCCATCCAAACGTCATGTTAGTCGTGGGTTGTAAAGCCAAGTATGGGAGAAACTTGGTCAATTGGGGGAAAGTTCATGGGAACCGCTGATTCTGCTAGTACCCCATAGACGGCATACGCCGGCGAGATTAAGATCGACCCGGATTTATGGGTGGTGGGAGTGAACGACTACGAAGTACGGCATCGCCTTTTTTGACCCTTGGAAGATCTGGACCCTGGATACTTGATAACCCACCCGGAAACGAGCAGACGTCTGGTCGAGACTCTGAACTGCGAAGCGTTCGCGGCCAACGTCGCTTAATGCCAAGCTCCATGTGCCGATTCGCATCATAGTGGCGGATATTTTCAAACAAAGAGAACGGAGCTCCAAGGTACTCCGTACCACAATACGGCCGTGGCCGACGGCCACGTCCACTGCTATGGCGACACGAATGCACTGACGGTAGGAATTCTTGCGCTCGCAGGAGCAAGGCAGCAGAATTATGTTGTGGGGAAAGCTGTCTCTAGAGGAAGGCTGTGCGTTTGCTCGTCCATAGCCTGACCGTCCGAGCTCGAGGTGTTGGGAGTCTTGGGGTGGGAAATAGGGGATGATCTGACGTATGGTGCATTGTCGATGGGCCGAACAGGGAGCGGGTTTATGCAGTGACGCGGAGAGAGTTATGCAAACTACCAGCGGTTGGTCTCTAGCAGAGGTTTCCAAGGCAAGGCTGGGGCCCCAAACGATGGTGGTCGGGATATGCTGTATGTCAGTGGTTCTCCTGGAGTCTTGGTAGCTCAGTGCTGTAGGGGCTTATGCATGTCAAGTTCAGGTGCTCTTGTGTAGGTAATCCATCGTCCCATCAGTTGCGCGCGTGAGATGGATGGGACGGTGTGGTTTGTGTCTGCATGGTGGTTGCATTCTCGCGAAGCCGGTTGCAGCCAAGTCAGGTACGGATGCATGAGGTGTGGGATGAGGTTTTTAGGTTCGGTTGGCTGGAAGGATCATCGAGATATCCGCAGCCCGAGGCCAAAGTCGACCACGATGCGATGCAGTTGCAGATGCAGAGCTGCAGCACCGGCCGTACTCGAACGAGCTTGATCTGTTGCAACAATCGAGCACTCACCATTTGTCAATCCCTTCCGTTCGTGTCGGGCTCGCCTAGGCCACGATGCAGCGGGGATTGGCCATGATCGTGGAAGCAGGTCTCGACTGTTGATGTCAAATCAGAGAACAAAGAGAGAGAGGCATAGAGTATCGGTATTGACCGGATGACAGGAACAAGAAGCCGCAACGGGAATAGTTGAGGTCCAGTATTGGTAGCGCGATGCGGTTCAAGACCCGACGACTGTTGCAATCGCGCTTCGTAGCGGCTACCTCGTTGGACCAAAGGACCGAAGTCTTTACCCCAGAGTGCCGGCCTCCAGGTGGGGGTGGAAAGTTGGAAGAGAACAAAGAGGCGGGCGAGGCGGCCTTGTCAGTCGTTGCTTACTGGAATGCTGAATTGTCGCTTGTCTTCCATCGGGCCCAAGCATGTTTACTCGCAAGGAGGGAAAAAATCTGCCATTTGGCGCGGCCGTGGCTGTGGCTGGATTAGCACGTCACTATCCGTAGACGCTACGCTGAGACCAAGGGTCCCAGCGTGCCGAACACGACGTGCTGCAAACCCACAGAGCAGACTTCAAGGGTTCACGACCATCGACACTGCTGTGATGTTGGTCACGATCCACGTCAAGATCGAGGTTGGCGGCTTCGTGGCAAGGTGGTTGAGGTGAGACCGTGAGAAGTTCGTGAGCAGTCTGGGCGAACGGACAGACGGGCGGCTTCCACCACGGGAGATCAGTTAGACTGAACCCTGGGCTTGTGGAGATGACAAGATGTACTTTGGAGGTACCTTGAAGGGTCGTGGTTGTTGATGAGCGTATCCGTACTGTTTCTTTGCAGGGAGTCTTGGAATCGGACAAGCAAATGAACGAGTCGATAGGCTGCTTGGATGCCTCTCCTCTTACCCTTGACTTTTGACTGTCGTCTTGAGAGACTCTGGATGAGTTGGGACTGACCGCCTATGGTGAAGAGTTGCCGCCTTTTCCATGCAGATGGCTCGAACCCACACAATCGGATAGTCGTATCAGATGTTGTCTTGCTAGAAAATGGAGAAGCTGAGGAGAAGAGATCCATCTGGCAAAGTGACAGGTCACAGAAGGCGTCCCCGAAATGCGACGAGGCAGGTACGGAGTACCAAGGACGGGTACTTGCCGGGTTGGTGAATCCACCGTTATTCCTCTCACCTCACCACTCACCTCCAAGTACCTTTAGATGTACCTCCCTTTACCACCTCACCTCACCTCACCTTGCCTCACCATGGGCAGCGCAGGTACGCCGGTAGGTATGTATTGTATTCAAGGTGCTTAGCTAAGGCAGCTTCGGTTCATCCTCGCCCTCACTCAGTGAGAAACAGACACTGAGCACCTCAGTGAGGGGACCCAAGCAGTAGTGTACGTACCCAGCCTCGCTCCGTCACCAGCTCAGCCCAGCTTCCAGCGGGTCCATCGGGCCTGCAATCCCCACTGCAACCCACTGAACGAACACCCTTTGACACCCAAATTAGCACTCGCTGAGGGTTGTCGTCACGGTGAGCCAGACAAGCCAGAACAACATGGCCAGGCTGTCCCTGGTTGCTATCCATGAGATCCAGGAACCTGCCCCCCCTTCTCGAAAAACAACACACTCGCAACGGGAACGCGCAACACACACGACACCACCACCACCAATGTCCAAAGGGCAACTCGTGCGAGAGATTCTCCTTGGGATCTCCTTGGGGAGCCTGCCTACCTTGGGTATTCCGTAACTCCGTAGAGGAGTGCAGCAAGGTTTGCTTGGCCTTTTCGTATCCATGTGGTCCATCGGAAAATACCACCAGTCAGGATGCAATGGATGAACAATGGCACCATCTGATCGACCATCCGTGTGACGAAAAGCCCGCCGTTCCTGGATGTGCCACGGTGATGGTCAAACAGAACTGGGCCGCTTGTTTGAGCCCCAGAGGCCCTTGAGCAAGCCTGTCTTGCCTGTCTTGCCCTTTTTCTTTTCCCCGATTCGATCCCTTTCTCGGATAGGCAATGAGGCACGGGGGTGTACTTTTGTGAGGGGATGCAAGACACGGGAACCGAAGAGCTGCCACACCACCTCATCGAGGCTTCCTTTGGCTTCTGATTGAATGTCGACAGCTGCAAGCTCCAGGAGAGGGATTTGGTGGATGATCTGAGACTCAGACGACGGAGGCAGGATGAACAAGGCCCGAGACGGGATGGCAGCATTGGCACTGTCATCATCAGGATGGATTGATGAGGGGATGCCAACTGCCGTCCGCCCATCCAACGTCATCCTGTACTAGCATTCTGAAAGAGAGGAAGGATAGCTGAACGTGTTATGATCTGAGGTCAGGGAATAAGCCAGCAAGCACCATCATCAACACCACTGACTGCGGCGGCATGCGGCGGCGGGCCTGCCTTTTTTGCTGCCCAGGGTGCTCACTGCACAGGACTGACGCGGGCGTTTCGTCTACAATGGGCAAAAGGGAAACAAAATTGCCAGCCATCGACGCAAGATTCCCGAAGCCGGGATGCCTGTCTTGTTCGTTGCGTCAGCCACCGTCACTAATGATCTTGTGGGATGGGCAACACAAGGCGACCGGAGTGGTTGGGATGCAATTTGAGTATGTACAAGGAACTGAAACGATTCTTATTTTTTGAATTTTGATTCTGCGTCTAGGGATACTGCGTATGGATCAGCTTTGTCTGGGTATCACCGCTACTGGGTAAGGCAACCTGTGCCTGTGCAAGCGTGGGATTTGTTTGGGCCCTGTTCATCTGACTCTTATGGATAACATCAACAACAAACCCATGCGACATGAAGATTGAGTGATGCTGTGAAGTCTTTCTGCCCAAGGCTCGCATGTTTGGTTTGCCATGACCGGACGATACTAGTCGATAAACCATGCATCTAGATGCAAGAGAATGGGCACCTATTCAGACCCATCCATCAGGTATAGAGTACCCGTACGTGTGGTGATGAGTGGCCATTTTTTGCCGCATTTTGTCACTTTGTTTTGTGCCCGTATTCCCAATTTCTCGCTTCTCTTCTTCTTTTCCCGACTCCATTCACTGATCCTCGCCCACATTGCTACCGCCCCCCTGCCGGGCCTGCCCTCGTTCTTGCAGATACGCTAAAGAGCCGAGAGGGAAAAGAGGACCATTGCCGGGGTTTCCTTCTCGTTTTCCCTTGCCAAGTTGCCGTTACACCCCTGTCTTGGTGCCCTCTTCTCGGCCCTCGTCCACGTCGTCTTCGGTTCTCACCTACGGGTTATCCGCACCGCCTATTTCGTCCACCACTTACTACCTTAGCTAGCTACTTGCCATCATACGGAAAGCAATGCTCCCGGGATCGAGACTTGAAGGGGGGGTGCAAAGATTAGCCTTCAGAAACAAAAGACAGCAAGAGAAGATAGACCAGAGAGAATACGCCAAAACCAGATGATCCCGCTCAGACAGCGCGCTAAAAGTGAAGGAGTGAAAGAAACCCAAAGTTGCCAAAGAAAAGGTACTTGCGAGGTACGTCCGAAGAGTACAGGGGGGAGGCACTGGGGGGCTTTGGACACAGAGCGCAGCATTGCATCAACACGGACCATTCTGCACTACTGGCGCGCAGTACGGAGTACCTACGCCTCCACCCCAACCTGCCTGTAATGGCATGAGCGATGGGCGATGAGAGGTTCCCAGTTGTCCCGTCCATGTCTTTCCTCTTCTTCGTCTCCAGCTTGTGCTTGTTGCGGAACCCACTTGGTGCAACGCCCACCGCCGAAATACCCTCTCTCTCTCTCAACCAGAGGACTCCGTACAGAGTGCCAGAATCCCAGAATCCCAGGCTCTAGCTCAGCCCGCCCGTCCATCTTCCCGCTCCTCGCGACTCGTTTCCCAAACCCGACTCAGCCTTACTTCGCTTTATGAACCCTGCATAACTTACCAGCAACGCCATCTGGGATCCTGTCTCTTTGTGTCTGTGTCCAAGTTCGAAGCCCCTTTCTGATGTACGGATACACCCATTGCTACTAGGTACGGAGCATGTACTCGGACCTGGCAATCCCAATCCCAAATCCAATCCCACCACGCCCGTCCATCATCCACCATCCATCATCCACCTATCTCACTACATATACCACCCCGACCTCCCACCTCATCCAAGCCTCTCTCCTTGTGCTCTCCTACTCACCTCTCCAACCCGACGTTGCGTGATCACATCATCCCCTTACGACCGAGTACGAGCTACTGCCCTAATCACACACCCGACTACAAGCTGCATACGAATATGAGCAGCACCCCCTACTGCTCAGGACCGAGGACAGGAAGAGTTGGCTTTTACGACGTTTACCACCCACGACCGACACGATCCACCAACAGATAATTTTCTACCCGTTCCGCTATTGTCACTGTTGTAAAACAGAAACAATTTCGCATACACACACATTCCAATACAAACAACTACTACCAGACTCAATAATCAGAGCCGCGGGCACGAGACACAACGACAAGATGGGCAACATGGCGAGACAGGTCCAGAACACCGACTACTCGGACGACGAATACGGAGCCGAGGACGCCTACTTCACCTACCGACCCCTCTCCAACCTTCCCACCCCGCCACCTTCATCCAGGAATTCTTCCGCCCACCAGAGCCCGAAAACGGCTTTGGAAGAAGGCGACATTCTGCAAGAAAAGTTCCTTGGTACGTGCAGCCGAATTACGTGATGACGGATGGGGGGAGAGCTTGGGCAACCCTTACACACTTTACCCCGTCTTGCTCCAACGCTCGTTCGTTCGATGGGCATGCTCCAAATGCAATATATTATATGCAATGTAATGCTAACCTCCGCGCGCTTGCAGGCCCCGCCATCCACCTCGTCAACCTCGTTCCCACGTCAGCTTCCCTCACGACCCCGTCGGTGCCTCTGGTACAGGCCATGCTCAGCCGGTCCGGCCTCCCGCTCGAGACCATTGCCTTGGCCGTCTGCATCCTCGACTCTCTCAACTCCAAGTTCGCCCTGAGCTGGCGCTTGCAGTGCCCCCTGCTCGTCGACGGTTCTTCCTACAACAAACGCCACACTCTTGGCCACAGCCCGCTCCTCGATCGCCGCCGTCAGCAGCAGCTGCACATCGATTCGGTCCAGCCCGAGCTTATTATCCTATCTGCCCTCATCATCGCCGCCAAATTCACCGACGACTGCCACGACTCGACGTCATACTATTCGTCAAACTGGGGCAAGGACACTTGGTCGTGCGAGCAGATCAACGTGACGGAACGCTGCATCTGCGAGAACCTCAACTACCGCATCAAGCCCCTGGTCGACGATGAGGATCTGCTCGCCGATACCATGGTTGACATGCAGCTGGCCGCACGGCACTATAACTCGGCCCGCCCCGTCCAACCCCACGAGATGGGACACAGCAAGAGCAAGAGCATGACGATCGGTACCGCCGTGATTGGTCTGGGCCTGCAGCTGACGCCCGTCGACACGCCAAAGTCTGAGGCCGAGTCGTTTGGTGACGAAGTGCGTGCGGCTCTCGAGAAGACGACATTCGGCGGGGATTACATGTCCCTGACCTTCTCCGGCAACGACATGGGTCTGTCTCCAGTCGGCGAAGAGTTTTGAGGAACGAAGATGGAAAACAAAAAGGGACGACGGGACAATCAGCGAGCGAGCGTTTTTGTTTGATTGTCATGATGGTTGATTCGCATGCCCTGTGGGATTCCGAGAGGATATTTCGCACATTTGCATAAGTCTCTCTGGCTTATTGTATACTGAGGGGGCGACATCATTTTTTTCCAAAGCTTGAACGTTTTTAGGATACCAAAACCTCGGCCTCGACGAGGGCTCGACGGGTTACGCATCTTGTAATTTTTCTTGAGCGATCAACTGGGCTGGCGTATATGGTGGATAAGGGGTTTACCGGATGGGGGTTTTGGGATCAGGGTCGCGACACTGGAAATCATGGTTCATCTTTTTATCATACCCTATTTGGTAATGTAGTCCTGGAAAGACAGCATTCAATTTCTCACTTTCACACAGTGTTCCCTCGTCGTGATTTGGTATAATGAGTGATGCTGTTTTGACTCTGCAACAACAACCAGAGTTCACATGTCTAACCTATCAACTACCCCATCACCGCCTAAGGGCTCAACCTGTTAATCGTCCACTTATCCTCCTCGCCATCCACCTTGTCATACACAAACCGGTCATGAAGCCGACTATCCCTCCCCTGCCAGAACTCAACCCTCTCCGGCACGATCCTCAACCCGCCCCAGAACTCGGGCACCGGAATCGTCTCCTGGCCCTCGAACCGCTCCTCCACCTCCTTCACCCACCCCTCCAACTGCGCCCTCCCATCGTCCTCCCCCCCCTCCTCGCCCCTCACCCCCTCCTGCGGCTCCAGCACCTGACTCTGCCGCGAAGCCCACGCCCCGATCCGGCTCCCGCGCACGCGGGTGTCGTAGTACACCTGGCTCTCCTCCCTACTCAACCTCTCCGCCCTGCCCTCGACTCTCACCTGCCTCTGCAGCGCCTCCCACCAGAAGGTCAGGCTCGCGTGCGGGTTGGAGGCGAGGTCGGCTGCTTTGCGGGAGGTGCCGAGGTTGGTGTAGACTACGAAGCCGCCCTTGGCGTCGAGCTCTTTGAGGTAGACCATGCGGGCGGAGACGCGGCCGGACGGGAGAGAGGCGGTGGAGAGGGTGCAGGTTTCCGGGTGGGAGACGGCGTGGGTTTGTTGGGCTGCCGTGAACCAGGTGTTGAATTGGCGGGTTGGCGAGGTCGGGTGCAGGGAGGGGAGGGAGAGGCGGCCGAGGGTGAATTGGTCTGCGCGGGTGTTTTGGGAGGAGCCGGCGGGTGCGACTTTGATGTTAGCTTTGGTGTTCTGTGGTGAGAGGGGTGGCGTGATGAGATGAAGAGGATGGAAGTGAGATGAGGGCCTTTCTTTTCGGCGTCTTCATCATCCAGTGATCCGGTGATCCGGCCTTTCTACTCCTCATCGTGCCTCTACAACCCAGGGAAGCCGTGCTATGCAGAGAGCAGTGGTGAGAACTTACAAATGAGCTTCTCGCTCTCGGGAGGCGGGTGCAGAGCCATCTTGAGCGATCTCGAGAATCTATAAGCGAAGCCGGGCCTCATATGCGAGCAGTCAAAAGTTCACCGCAAGGTAGTGAGTGAGTGAGTGGGTGGGTGGTCTCGTTTACCAGAGCTTTCCTTATTACACAACTTCCGTCAGCTGATGGAGAATACGGGCAGAAGAAGATTGATTGTCTCGTGACTCTATGAAAAGCAACTCACGAGGAAATGCTAGGATTGACGTTCAGATCAATTGCAGCCTGGAACTTGGCGCTGAGGTACGCAGAATGTCGAGAGTAAGTTGATGCGGTGTGTTTGATGTGTGTAGACCAGCGTGTAAAGGGTGAGGTGATTTACGCGTTTAAAAAAAAAAAGCGGTTGCAGCGTCATGTCATGACTTGGTAACTTTCCCTCTCATGATGCTTGCATTTGGAGTGAGGGGCACCGCGAGCTACAAAAACGCCCCACATTCTCGGAGCACGTTGCTGAGGGTGGACAGCCGCAGAATGTTCCACCCGTTCTTCTCCCCTTCCCACACACCTAGGCACTCAAACACCCAGACATCGGATTGTATGTAGGTAGGCGCAGCCGCGCAGCGCGCAGAACACCCACATTGCGGAGCTCATGTGCGGAGCAGGGATCAGCCCAGCACATCAGTCCCCCGATCGGACCACTTGATGACTACACATTGAGAGACATCACACATAAACAATAGAATACACACCAAACACACATACACGCAAGACACACACATAACGCAACAGACCAAACAAACGTATTTCATTCCGTACATACGACGGGTAGGGGGTATCATATCGTAAACAAACGTCATCCAGGTACGCAAGATACGCAACGTACGCAACAAACGCAGCGAACGCAACGCACTATACGCACTACCCAAAACACCTCTAAACCCAAATAAAAACATGTAATCCCTCTTACACCACGACGTCGTGATGGCGCGAGCCAAACAACGGACGTCTTGACGGCGCGCTTTCTTATACGCCAGTTTTGAGGAATAGTTGCTTCCTACTTTGTGTGTGTGTGTCTATGCTATCATCCCGATGAAAAATGAAAAAAAAAGCCCGAAAACCCAAAACACCATACTGTTCTAAAAACTTTTTTGCACGTGTGCATTTTCTTTTCCTCATGTCCAAGTTCCCCGTACAATTAGGAAAGAAAGCCAAAAGAAAATGTCATCTCTATGGTGCCATAACCAACGCAAGCAAAGCCATGCGGCAGTACAGACCATATCTCATCTGTGCAAATTGTCAGCATTCTGTTCAAACCTCAGGGGTCAAGGGACTTACCTGTCTGAAGTAAGCCGCACGCTGGTCAGTGTCAACCTCGGGCGCAATCTCCTCGTTTCTCGGGAGAGGGTGCAGGATGCACATGTCTCTCTTGGCCGACTTGAGGGTGCGGTTGTCGATGCGGTACGAGTTCTTGACCTTCTCGTAGTCCTCCACCGTCGGGAATCTCTCCTTCTGGACGCGAGTGCAGTAGAGCACGTCGCTCTTGGCCAGGATCTCGGGAGTAAGCTCCTCAGACTCGCAGAGGAGCTGGCCGGACTCGACCAAGAAGTTGCGCACATCGGTAGGCAGAGCAAGTCCCTTGGGAGAGACAAGCTGAACCTGGACACCGTAGTCGCGGAGAAGGTAGATCAGGGAGTGGACAGGGCGGCCGTAGAGCAGGTCACCAACGAAGGTGATGGTGAGTCCCTGAACAGTACCGAGCTCCTCACGAATGGTGAAGAGATCAAGGAACGCCTGAGTAGGATGCTCCTTGCTGCCGTTGCCTCCATTGATGACGGGAACGGGAGAGTATCTCTTAGCGATCTCCACGCTGTGCTCGTCAGGGTGGCGGAGCACAACGGCGTCACCGTAGCAACCGAGGGTGCGCAGAGTGTCCTGCAGGGACTCGCCCTTCTGCACCGAGGATTGAGAGGTGGCAATGGCGACGGTGCGGCCGCCAAGTCTCTGCATCGCGGCATCGAAGGAGGCAGAAGTGCGGGTCGAAGGCTCGTAGAACAAGGTGCACAGGACCCGGCCGCGGAGAACGTTCAAGACACCCTCGCGCTGGACGCCCAGGCGCATCTGCTGAGCCACAGTGAAGAGGTGGTGAAGGTCAGCACGGGTGTACTGGCTGACAGACAGGCAGCTGTGGCTCTTCCACGACGAGGGCTGCGACAGGAGGTCCTGAAGCTTGGAGCCAACAGCGGGGTGGAGAGGGGCGGGAAGACCAAGGTCCTCGAAGCCGCTGTTGCTCTTGTTGGGCAGGTAGCCGTCGGTGGGACGAAGCTTGGTGGGCCTGGAGGTGTTGAACAGCGACGGGCGACGGTCGCGAGGGCTGTCAGGGTTGGTCAAAGACTGCAGCTGGGGCTTGATCGCAGGGGACATGGGCAGAGCACCGTGAGTGGACATGTCCTTGCCAAGAGCAGGCAGAGCCAGCAGCTCGCCATCCAGGCAGACGGTCTGGTCCTGGAAGGTCACACGCTGGACGGAACCGCGCATGGTGCGGCCAGCGAAGGGAGACCAGCCGTTGGTGTTGTGGACGGCGTAGGGACGGTCAATCTCAACCTCGACGCTGGTTCCAACCTGCTCGTGGAGCTCAAAGATCTCCTTGGGGTTGTCGTAGAGACGAGCCTTGATGTCGTCGACGGTCAGCTTGCCCTCAGTAACGGAAGTGAGGAGCAGGGGCAGAGCGTCGGCAATGCCAACGGAAGGATCGGCGGTCTTGCCCAGAGAGCTGGCAAGCTGGTAAGGCAAGCTGCCAATGGAGAAGACGTCGATGGTGCTCAGGTGAGCCCAGAGAGCGTTCTGGTCGGCCTTGGTGGGGAGCAGAGCACAGTCGGGGAAGTCATCCTGCGAGAGGTACAGGGAGAAGATGGACACGTCGCAGGTGACCTTCAAGCCCTTGGCCTTGCTAAGAGCAATGAGCTTGATGTCGTCCTTGGTGGAGACCGAGGTGACGTGAATTCTCCGGTTGTGCAGGCTGGCCAGGAGCAGGATGGAAGCCAGGTCGGTGAGCTTGGCATCAGTGACAATGGGCTTGTGCGCGGGCCACTTGTCAAAGTGGGCAGTCACGGCAGCGACCTTGCTGATGTTTCCAGACAAGTGGTTGAAGGGGATGAAGAGCGATCCGACCTCACCGGTGACGTGGCTGATGCGGTCAGAGTTGTCAGAGGTGGCAGTGACGGAGAAGTTGAAGTCGCAGAATCCACCCTGCTTGCTGCTCTGCTGGGCGACCTTCAGGCTGACGGCATCGGTGATTGAGCCATCGACTCCGACAGGCATAATGCGGACCATGCTGAAACCGGCGGAGAGCGAGGCCTTGGTCACACCCTTGAGATCCTTGCTTCCGGCAGTAGCAATACCAGGTACAAAGGCGGCGACGTTGATCAAGCCAGGCAGAGAGATGGTGCGGTGGCTGGTCTGGAAGTCGCGGCTGCCGACCTCGAGTCCGAAGTGGCGGGCAATGGCCTCAACGAGAATCTTGGCGTTCTTGACGTTGGTGACCAGAGGAACCTGGTAGTCGACGGCCATACGTCTGGTCTGGTAACCCTTACTCATGTAGTTGGCAGGACGGCGGTACTTGTTGTTGGAAGGCAAGTTGATGTAGAGATCAATCATGTTCTTGGCCAAGTGCTGCGTGAGAGAGAACTCGGAGCGCTGGTCCTCTTGCTCGTTGGCGAGAACCTCCAAGTACTGAACAGGGATGTTGTGCTCCTGAAGGAAGTCGGCAGTACCAGCAGTAGCGAACAGCTTGTAGCCGAGGCGGGCAAGCTTGTCGATGGCGGGCAGCATCTCCTTCTTGTCCTTGTAGGAACCGATGGACAGAAGGATGTTGGCCTTGGGGATCTTGAATCCGGTGGACATCAAAGCCTTGAGGTAGGCTTCGTACTTGTCGACACCGAAGCAAGCAACTTCACCAGTGGAAGCCATCTCTACACCCAAGACGGGGTCGGCGCCGGAAAGACGGGAGAAACTGAACTGGGGAACCTTGACACCGACGCAGTTGGGGGCGATATCGGTAGCAGGGTAGGCCTCGAACGGCTTGCCAGTGATGGCCTTGGTGGCCATCTCAATCATGTCGACACCCATGACCTTGGAAACGAAGGGGAACGATCGAGAGGCACGAACGTTGCACTCGATGACCTTGATGTCGTTGTCCTTGGCGATGAACTGAATGTTGAAGGGACCAGTGACGTTCAGAGCAGCACCAATCTTGCGAGTTGCCTCCTCGATTCTGGCAATGGTCTCGGGCTCCAAGTCCTGAGGGGGCAGGATGAGAGTGGCGTCACCAGAGTGAACACCAGCATTCTCGACGTGCTCAGAGATGAAGTGGCCAATGACAACACCGTCCTTGGCAACAGCATCCATCTCGATTTCCTTGGCGTTCTCAATGTACTTGGTGATAACGACAGGGTGCTCGCGGGAAACCTCGGCAGCCTGGGCCAGGTAGTTCTCGAGATCCTGCTCGGAGTAGACAGTGTTCATCGCAGCACCCGAGAGGACGTAAGAAGGTCGCACCAACACGGGGTAGGAGACAGCGTTGCAGAACTTCTTGGCCTCGTCGAAGCTGGTCAACTCCTTCCAGGTGGGCTGATCAACACCAATGGTGTCCAACATACGAGAGAACTTGTAGCGGTTCTCGGCGTTGTCAATCATCTCAGGAGAGGTACCAAGGATCTTAATGCCAGCGCGGTGGAGCGGCAGAGCAATGTTGTTGGGGGTCTGTCCACCCATGGCACCGAGGACACCACCAGCGCCTTCCAGCTGGTAGATGTCGAGGATGGATTCCAAGCTGATGTTCTCAAAGTAGAGCTTGTCGGCCTCGTCGTAATCGGTACTGACGGTCTCCGGATTGTAGTTGACCATGATAGTCTTGAAGCCATCCTGGCGCAGGGTGCGAATAGCGCGAACAGAGCACCAGTCGAACTCGACGGAAGAACCAATGCGGTAGACACCAGATCCCAAGACCATGATACCGTGGTCATCAAAGGACACATCGCTCTCGGTCGCATTGTAGGTCAGGTAGAGGTAGTTGGTGTGAGCAGGGAACTCAGCAGCAACGGTATCAATCTGCTTGACAAACGGCATGATGCTGGCCTCCTGTCTCAGAGATCGCACAGCGATCTCGTTGGAACTCCAGAACTTGGCGAGCTGACGATCAGAGAAACCGAGTCTCTTGGCCTGGAGGAGAATGGCAGGAGACTTGGAGATGTCGCTGGTGGTGTAGTTGGTCATGTTCTTGGCGAAGTCGCTCAAGCCCTTGAGCTTGTTCAGGAACCACTTGTCGATCTTGGTAAGCTCCCAGATCTTGTCGACGGTGTAGCCAGAGTGCATAGCGTTGGCAATGGCGAACAGACGCTGGTCGGAAGGAGTCTGCAGCTCGTCATCGATAGACATCAAAGCCTCGGTCTCGTTAAAGCCCAGGTTGTGGAAATCGATGGCGCGAATCGCCTTCTGGATGGCTTCCTCAAAGCTCCTGCCGATGCTCATGACCTCACCAACACTCTTCATGGAAGAT